AAGAGAGCTGAAGGAGGCTTGGTGGCCATCACTGCCGCCACAAAAGTCGCTGCTGCTGCCATAAGGAGCCCAACACTCTGGAAGCCCAACATTCTGGAAAAATTTTATCCTAAGTTCTCTAAGGTTGGTTGGTCTGAGGTTGCTGAAGTTATTTCCTGCTTTTACCAGAATTGTCCAGGCCCTGGTGTAGACCCAAGTCTGTGAGTGAATCTCATCAGCAGATCCAGCTAGAAAAGACAAAGAGGAGAAAAGAGCTTGGGTTGCTGGTCCTCAGGTCCTTGTGCAATGAGAACAATTGCCTCTCGCTCCTTGTCTCATACTTGGTCCCTAAGCACACCTGCCTTTTCTTGGCTTTCTGCCTCGGCTGCAGCTGCTCCTTACTCCTGGAGTGCCCGCTTCCAGTTTCGATGACTTAAAATCCTATCTGTATTTCCAGGTTGGTCTCAAATACTGCTTCCTTCATGATTCTTCAAATAGGATGAGATCTCGCTTTCCTCTGAATTCCCAAATCCCTTAAAGTTTTTAAGAATTCTACTTTTAACCATTTCATCTTTATCAGTGTAGTAAGTGTTCACTGCTGAAATTTATAAGTAATTGAGAGAGAGAGAGAGAGAGAGAGAGAGAGAGAGAGAGAGAGAGAGAGAGACTACTCCCTGACAATCCTTGTGGATAAATCTCTCTCATGGTTCTCACTACAATGTCTGCCTCAGAGCTCCATCTTAACTCCTCCACTCAGTTGTGAGCAATTTGAGGGCTCTGATTAGTTTCCTCATCTTCCCATACCTGAGACCTGCACGGAGCAATTTTCTCAGTGATGGACAAGTAAGTCCCACTGAAATCCTGGGAATCTGGGCTCCCACTTTCCTTTTGTATTTCTGTTTCAGACAATGTTAGAATGGCCATTTAGCCTGAGCTCCAGCCTTCACATCTGCCTTCAAGGTAGCAGGGAGAAAGAAAAAGTAAGAACGAAAGGAGAACTGTCAGCTCTCCTGTCCAACTTCCTTTGTCGTGAAATAAATTTGTGTAAACATTTAGATACTTTTAGGTGGGAAAGATGATACTCAGATTTCACTGCTAGTTTCAACAAGGTGTACTGTCTAAGAACGATCTTTCCAGTGAAGAATAAGCAGTGGCACATTGATGCAAAAGTTAAACAAAGAACACCTAACCTGCAAAGACATTTATGACAATAATTTAAAGATCAATGAATCAGGATAATTCTGATTTAAAACACTAAGAACTAGGATCGTTATGAAAAACAAAATCGACTTCTGAGAGTATGAAAAGGGATGTAGGGCAAACAAGGGGAAAGTTCATATTTGTTGAGTTATAAACTTGAGCTTTCCATTACTACTACTACTGCTATTATTATTATTATTTTAACATTATTATGATGATGGGCATTATTATTTTATGGCGAACCTTGCAAATACAAAGCCAGACCCAAATCAGTGGTCATAATAACAAAGTATCTGTAATAAAGGCAAGGCGCTAACTCAGGCTGACTTGTCAGGTATTTTTTGCACTTACATTATCTACAGAAGCAGCTGGCCAGTTTGTACCTAGTGACTCCTGTATGCTGAATGGGGTTCGGGTAAAATCAAGCTATGTACAAATCTGTGTGCAGAGCTGAGAGAGTATTCTCCATCGTCTGGAGGGAGCTATCCGTATGCCCCAGTGTTTCATATCTTTGTCACATTGTCCTGATTCAAATGCATTTCAGGGCGTGGTTTTGATTTTGCCAAAATGAATGTGTCTTATGGGTACCCTGCAAAAGCCATAATGAAATAAAACTCTAGCTTTAAGGAGCTGACATACCACCATCCCAGCTTGAGGGACATTACTTAATGGGACTTCCTGAGGTCACTTGGCTTTGTGAAGACTTTCCTCCACAGTTCTATGCCCCAACATCTACTTATGTGACACTGGCCAGGATTTAGTTATGTGATTATTGCTTTTTGAGGGAGCCTGGCAAATGTAGTTTTTTCAGTTGGTGCCTATTGCTGCCTCTGACAAAACTGGGGTTTGTTATCCATAGAAGAAGGGAAGATCTTAGGTGGGCAGCTCTAACTAGTTGGGGGCAGAAAGGGGTTGATCTCCTGCAGAGTTGTCAGGAGGGCCATAGAAGTGGGTCTAGGCAAGGCTCTCAGAAACACCGCCTCTGCCGCAGCCATGCCAGAGAAACCCACAACCTCTGCCCAGCTGTTTCTTCATGATACTTTCAAGTCACCCCTTCCATGGGTGCAACTTACTGGTTAAAACTAGGTCACGGGCCTGCAAGGGAGACTGTGAAATGTTGTCTAAGAAAATAATATCTGACCCAAAAGCCAGTAGTAGAAGAAAGGAAATAATAAAAATTCAAGCAGAAATAAATGAAGTAGAAATAAAAAAGACAATCTAAAAGATCAATAAAATAAAAAGCTGATTTTTTGAAAGAATAAACAAAATAGACAACCTCTAGCCAAGCTCACAAAAAAAAAAAAAGGGAGAAAAAAAAAAAAAAAAAAAAAAAAAAAAAAAAGGATCATAAAGGAGAGGAGAAATTACAACAGACAAGCAGAAATCCAGAGGATAATCAGAGATTACTATGAACATTCATATGCAAACAAGTTCAAGCCACTATGGCTTTGAGTTCAATCTCTGGCCAGGGAGCTACCCACATGGCACAGCAGACCTCTCCTGTGTCGCCCACTACTCCCCTCAGCAGTGTATTTCAGTAGATCTGCCTGTTCTGCTCCCCACTCTGTCTCTGGTGAATCCTCTCACCCCTGCACCTCTGGCCTGTACTCCAGTTGTTGCATGCATAAACAAATAAAAATAAATCTTAAAAAAAAATCCTAGCAAATCAAATTCAACAACACATCAAAAGGGTAATATGCCAGGACCAAATGGGATTTATTCCAGGGACACAAGGATGGCTGAACATCCTAAAATCAATTAATGTAATTCAACACATCAACAAAAAGAAAAACAAAAACCACATGATCATATCAATAGATGTTGAAAAGCATTTGATCAAGTTCAACATCCATTTATGGTGACGGTCCTTGAAACTCTTGGGATAGAAGGAACATACCTTAACATAATAAAACCCACATACGACAAACCCACAACCAATGTCATTCTCAATGGTGAAAAACGTGAAGTCTTTCTTTCAAGATCTGGAACAAGACAAGGATGTCCACTCTCACCACTGCATTTCAATACAATGCTGGAAGTCCTAGCCAGAGTAGTAAGGCAAGAGAAAGACATACAAGTAACCCAAATAGGGGAAAGAAGAAGTCAAACTATCACTATTTGCAGATGACACGATAAGACATAAAGAATCCTAAAAACTTCACAGAAAAACTAGTAAAAACAAGAAACCAGTTTAGTAAAGCAGCAGGTGGGAATGCAAAATGCCCAACTACTATGGGAAGCTGTGTGGAGGACCCTCAAATTACTAATTTAAAAATGGAGCTTCCATATGACCCAGCAATTCCACTCCTTGGAGTCTGCCCAAAGGACACAATAACATTAATTCAAAAGGAAACCTCATTCCTATGTTTACTGCAGCACTATTTACAATTGCTAGGATATGGAAGCAACCTAAGTGCCCCAAAAGAGATGACCGGATCAAGAAGATGTGGTACAGGGCCTCCCCGGTGGCGCAGCGGTTGAGCGCTGGATTGCAAAGCTGCCTGCACCCTCTGCAGCGCCGGTTCGATCCCCGGCCACCAGGCCAGTGTCCCACATGGTGCACAGACCTCTTCTGCCGCCCGCTGCTCCCCTCAGCAGTGTACTTCGTCAGTCTGCCTGCTCTGTTCCCCGCTCTGACTCTGGTGAATCCTCTCACCCTCCTGAGCTTCTGACTGTACCCAGTGCTTGTATGAATAATAAATAAATAAATAAATCTTAAAAAAAAAAAAGAAGAAGATGTGTGGTACATATATACAATGGGATACTACTCAGCAATCAAAAAATATCAATAAACTCATGGCATTTGCAGCAACATGGATGGAGCTGGAAAGGATTGTGCTTAGAGAAATAAGTCAGAAGGCGAAAGAAAAAATATATAATGGCTTCACTTATAGCAGGAATATAGGGAAACTGAACAAAGGGTCAGGACAAAAAGACAAAACTAGCAGAGATGAATTATAGATCCAGTGTGGAGCCTTTGCTTGGGCCACCCTGGAGAAGGCCAGAAACAAACGCAGTGGAAACTCCCCATGTGGTGGAGACTAACTTTTCTCAAAAAGTCTTCTAGCTTCACTCCCCACAACCAAGGCCCAGAAGGACTGTACACAATCACCTGCTGTTTCCCTGCCTGGGGGGGGGGGGCACCTTGTCTAGTGTCCAGTGGTCTCAGTTTCTGCCTGGGGAGATGAGAGAGGAGGAAAAGAGTCACTGCGGGGGAGCAGGGGGCACGGAAGGATGGTGTTAAGGTGCAAGAGACAAACTGGCAAGGGACATGCAACCACTGCCCCTGCTGCCACCACCACCACCACTTTTAGGGCGCCAGTAACCCCTTTAGTCCCAGTTGTCAGTGGCAAAGGATGGGGAACTCCAGAGGCGAGGCATCAGGCCCTCACTTGCCAACAAACAGCCCAAATCGGCACTGCCCTCAGCTGGTCAAATCGGTTTGATGAATGTAGGCACATTTTACATGAATGTTAATTGTGTTAGGCTGTTGGTGGGGCCTCTGCTACTGAAGCATATCCCATCCTGACTGCTGCCTGCACTCACCAATGTTGGGTAACGATTCCTGAGCATTGGCAGACTGTCAGCATAAGCACTGACAAGTACTTGTTGTGGCAGTCGAGTTTCGCTAAGCATTCCAATGGGAGCAAACATATATGCATTGACTGATGAATGGAAACCAGTCTAATTCTGCTCTGGTGTGCACAGAGCA